ACACACACACACACACACACACTCTCTCTCTCTCTCTCTCTCCCCGCGTGCTTGTGTGACGCGTGGAAACAACAGCAACAGGAGCCATGCAAGGTCAGATGATGGTGATGCATGCGATGGAGCAGTACTCCATGCTTGACTTCGCAAACGATGTCTTAGAGAAGTGCTGGGACATTTGCTATGACGTCAATCTCACTCGGCACGAGCTGGTTGAGGGGGACTTGCCGGATACCAAGCTGCGCAAGATGGAGGCATGTCAGCGGAAGTGCATCGCGCGTAACTTTGAAGTGATGAAGTTGATGAACGGGGCCCGAGAGCTGCGGGAGAAGGAGGCCCTGCAGGGCCTCCCGCCAGGCTCCCTTAGCGCGGAATAGAAGGGCGATGGGGACTAGCTTGACGGCACTGAGAGTGAAGTGGAGGTGATTCACAGGCGTCACGCGTCGTTGTTAGTGATGGTGGCGAGGTGACTGCCATCATCGTTGTTGTTGTTGTTGTGCTGCGTTGGATTCGGCCTCTCGTTACTGGTATGTGGCCTGATGGCTTTTGTCGTCTCTCCAGCCCGCCTACCCCTCCCAGCCTCGGCGCGTCAAATCTACGTCTCTTCACCTCCCCTTCTCTCCTTTTCTCCCCTCCTCGCTCCTCCTCTCTCTGGGTGGGTGGGACTTTGCAGTCGCTGGCTTCCTGGTGAGGCGGAGCGGGAAGGCTGCAGAGGAAATAAACGAAGAAATTACACTGGAGACGAGAGGGCGAGGCCGAGTGAGAGGTGTGCTTTGTTGTGTTGGGGTTGATTTTGAGAGGTAAGAAGGCTGTGCGTGTCGTTGGGGCGGGTGCAGCATTAATAGCGCGCGCGTGCATGCCTACACATAATATTACTAGTAATAACCCCCTGGTGTATGAACTGCGCCGCCGCACATAAGTGAGGAGGAGCCGGCAGGCAGCGATGCCGCATGCATGACGGTCTGAGGGTATTGACTCCCTTTTGCTTCTTGCCCTTGTAGATTCGCCTCCTTCCTCTTTCCTTCTCCCCCATTCCTTGCGTGGTCTACCACCCTTTCCTTTTTCTTTCCCTCTCCCTTTTTTCCCCAATCCGCTTTTTTTTTTACCCCCTCTGTGGGAAGTGGCGTCGTTTTTGTTCTTTTTTTTCCCCTTTGTGTTCCGTGTTGCTGCCGTGCTTCGCAGGGCGGGGGCGGAGTCACAGAGAGCAGAGGCGCTTTTTGGTTTTCGCCACACACACGTACACACCGGCAGCGGGCAGGAAGGCAGAGCGTATAAGTGTAGGGAACGAGAGCGAGGGGGAGCGTTTTTTTTTTTTAAAGAGTCGTTGGAAAAAAAAAAGAGGGCAGGGGGCAAAAAAAAAACAAGCAAACCGACAGCGGCCAAACAACTAGTGCTAGTGACGATGGCGGACCGTCTGCGCGCGTCACTGTCGTCATTCTTCTCGAAGCAAGTGGAGCGTGGGGATTGGCCGAGTGCCCTCAGGGCCCTCCGCGGCTGCGCAGAGACGGGAACGCTCCTGCACAGTCTTCCACACGAGACGCTCTTTCCATTTTTGGTGGCAAATGGGCAGTGGGAGTCCGTACTGCGCCTCAGTAGCCAACTCATCGCAGTGGAAGACGCAAAGGGCAGTAGCAAGAGGAGGGGAAGTACGGAGGTCGTAGCTTCGCTGGCGCAGGAAGAGGGATTGTACAACACGCTGCTTCGCGTGGCAGTTGCCAAGGAGGCAGTGTCGAGTATGGGGAGTTGGCAGGCGGCCGCGGCCATTGTGCAGCGCGCGACGCGACGCCGTGTGCGCTTAGAAGCCTCAGTCACAAGAGATGTCTTGAGCACCATAGACAAGTGGCAACGTGAACTCGCAACTGACAGCGGCAGCGACAATGGTATTCTCTCTGCAGGCGAAGCGAGCCAAACCCCCAGTGATGCCTTGCTGCTGACACGGGATCTGCTCGCTGCGGGTCTGCATCTTCGTGGAGGGTCTCCTCCGATGCCTGAGCCAGCGCCTATTTGCCGCGCACCGCGGGTCCTTCGGCCAGATTTGCTGCAAGCCATTTACAGCGCGATTTTTCAGGAATCGGTGGTGGATGAGAAAAACGACTCCATTGCTTGGCAACGGCTGAAGGAGCAGCTGCGCGCGAGTTGTGCACTATCTTTGCCTGACGCTGTCTACACGGTGCTTCACGTGTGTGCTCCCCACACCTATTCCAGCGAAGTAGTTGAAGCAGGTGAAACCGTGGATGAGTTGCGTCAAGCGACTATCGATTACATTGCCGTGCGTCCGGATTTCGCCGAGGAGATACTTCATTGCACGCTGCAGCGTCTGTTTGATGACGCTATCGCCGCCCCCCCAACTCCAGGTGTCCTCGAAGTTGGGCACCACGATGACGCTGCTGAGGACAGGCCTTGCAGCAAGACGCATGAGGTGTCCTTGGCGTGTTGGCGGCGCGCGCTTGAAAAACAACCTGGGCTGGAGTTGCCAAAATGGGAGATGGTGAAGGCGTTAGCCATGGCGGAGTTGGAGCAACGTGAGCGATGCTGGGTGATGGTGGAGGACGGCCTTGGTTGCTGGAAACAGGGACGAAAAGAGAACACGGCCCACGCTTTGACACTCACACGGCTCTGTACTGCCGCCCAGCTACTCCTTCTGCGAGGCGATGTTGCACAAGAGCAGCGGCAGCAGCCGGGAATTCCTCTGCCGTTGAACGACACTAAATGCATGGAGTTGGAGTGTGTTACGCGTAAATTGTTTCTGCACGGCGCGGTGGCCGGGGCGAATGGCGCAGATGACTCGCTCATTACTCTCCTGTCAGGCACTATTCAGTCGCTTGTGACGGTCTACATTCGACGTTGTTGTTTGGGGGATTACCGGCAGCGACCGCCCCTGAACGGAGTCGCGGGGGCGCCCGAGCACCGGCTTCACACATCCGCCGGCTCCAGCGTTGCTTCCAGCGAGCAGCGCAGCAACTCCGGCAGCCTCACTGCTGCTCCCTCAAAGTCGCTACTTGCCTCTGGAAGGGAGGTGTTTTGGGGAAGCATCCTCTTTCCACACACACTGAGGGGATGGCAACACACGCCGATAGCCTCCGCATGGCAAGCGCTGCTGCGGCACGTTTTACGTGACGCCTCCCTGCTACAAATGTGGTTTCAGGTTGACAACTCCGTTAACAGCGGCAGCGCAGTACTTGACGCAAGTCACACCTCCTCCTCCGCAGAGACGACGGAAGGCAACGCCGACGGTGGCGGACGTGGTCGCCGAGGTCGCCGACGTCGCCGTGTTGCGGGTGCTTCACATGTCACCCCCGCCTCTGTCTCTCGTGAAGAGAGGCTGCGGCAGCTGCAGGAGCTGGTGTATTTCCTCGGTCGAAGATTTCCGTGTGACACTCACCGTGCCATGCTTCCCTCCCGTTACGCGCAGAAGAAGGGAGAAACTCGGCAGGACCCACAATTCGATGTACCACACACGGCATGGATGGACGTCGATAACAACGTGAGACGAATTCCCGCCTTGTCGACGCTCTTAACGCGGCAGGAGGAGGTTGACGAGCTTGCACGAGCCCTTTTGCAGGCCTGCGTCAAGGACAACCTTTCTGTAGCCGATACCAGCAATATGTGGCGGACGTTTGTTTACTCTATTGCCCCGCAACAGCTGGGACCGCTACTACGACGCACGATGGACTTTGCCGCTACCGAGTTAAGTGATGGCCGTTGGCAGTCATCGTGCCCTGTGGCCCTAGTTGCAGTGATGCACGAGAGTAATGTCTTCAACAGCGAAGAAAAGGCACGTTACACGGCCCTGTTGTTGAGTTCTGTTCATCCCGGCACGAATTCATGGAGTGTGGCCCTCGCACTTTTTGACGAAGCCGCATCCAAGATTAGTGAGCAGCCCCATGATGGCAAAAGTGATACGTCGCTTCGTCATATCCTTGACGCTTTGCTGGTGAGTGCAGCACCCCCACGATGGCGGGAAGCATTGCAGGTAGTAGAGCTCGTGCAGGAAGCGGTGCCAAACGCAGACGACGCCCAAAACATAGCGGCGACGAATTGCAGTGCAGTTCGTACGAGCGGTACTTTGCCTAACCGAACTCCATTGAGTGATAGCGAGCGCATTGACTTGTACGAGGTCATTGCCCCGCTGAAGCGGCGGCGACACTGGATGTCTGCCATGGAGCTGTTTGCCGCCTATGAGGCACGTCAGCTGAGTGGGCATGACTGCGCCTGTTTTGCCTTTGCTGTGGCAAATGGGCCGCTTTACTTCGCCCGTCAGGTGCTACTTTCACTGAGGGGGAGAGAAAAGTCTAGAGATATTGCGCGGGCCGCCTTAGTGGCCTCCGAGAGGCATGTCAAGCTGGCAACGAGAGTTATGCAGCAACGGCAGCTTCAGCAAGGCGCACAACACAACGATGGCTCGCTTGAGCAGGAACGAATGTTTGTTCTCCACGAGGCAAATCAGGTGGCGCGCCTGGCTCTCGCTGTGTGGCCCACGACCATCACCAGCGATGAGGATTTTGCATTTATATGGAAGCGTGTTAGGGGCGCCTGCGCTGGTAACGTGGCTGCGGCGAAGCTCTTGCTGCGTCAGAGTGAGCTGTATGGCACGGAGCAAGCCAGGAACGAAGCAACCACCCTCGCGCAAACCGTGCGCCTCTGCCACACCGCACAGGATGCAGCAAGCGCGATCGCCGCGTATAAAGCGTTTCGTGGCCGGTTCATTGGCATGGTCTTGCCCGAAGAAACGATGCTACAGCTACTTACCTTGTGCGTTGCCTGCGTTGTCGATGCCGTGGACGATGAGGGGACGGGTGATGCAATAACAATGCTGCGTACCGTGCTCAGGGACACCTTGTGGATGCACGACTCCTCGATGCGTTGTGAGGGTGGTCACGCGACGGTGCCGCGAAACTGCACGCTGCAGGCATGTAGGCTGCTGTTTCGGTTATCTGCGGCAGCTGAGGAAGAGACCGTGATTGGTATTCCCAAGTTTAGGTGCGATATGACGCCCGGTATGCAACGGCACGCCCAAAGTCTGTTAAATGTGGTTATAAAGCATCTTGTGAGCAGCGACGCACGACTACTACGCAATCTTCCGGGACTTATTGGTGTACTTCGGGCACTGCCCCCATCGTGCCTCAATGCGGCGGCTTCGGCAACGCCGACGTCGTCGTCTCAGACGCCGCGGATGAATCCCATCGCCACCTTATCCGGTCACGTTGAAGATCTTGAGAAAACGTTGGGCCCCGTGGTGCCTGTTGAGTGTCTGTTTTGGCTGGGAATCCTGCAGAGCGAGCAGGCGGTCTCCGGCGCCGCGTCGTTGCCGTCCGCCACAGTTGGAGAGGGAGAAGACGAGGAAGCTGCAAGAAGAGGATTGAGAGAGGTTTCACCTTGGGACCCTGCGGCGTTTGTTGCTTCGAACGACGCTGTGCGCACACGGGAGGCAACAGCACTGTTGGACCGCGCTATTTGCTCTGCCGTGGCGGCGGCATTGCGCCGTGACGCCGACGCGGAGTTGTCGTCGTCGTTGCGTGGCAAACTTATTCCGTGCATCGTCGAGGCACTTGTCTTTTTACTGTACCGTCGCTGGCATTCACAGCCCCCACTTACTGCCACGCTGGCAGCTGCCGCGTACGCATTGCAGACTCTGCATGACGCACCAGAGTGGATGTTAAGTGAGGCTGCGATGGGGATACTTGCGGCGCTGCAGACTATTTTTGGCGCCTTTCACGTTCGTCACTCGGTGTCTGAGCTTGCAGTTCTGGCACATCCAAGGCACCGTCTTTCCTCGGTTGTGGATGCCGTGTTGACCGGAACGGCGTACGAGGCAGTGGGGCACATGCGCGACTTTGTTTTATTGGCGTCTGCGTGGATGCGGAAGCAGTTACAGGCGGCGGAGGGTGAGGGGCGGCGGGCATTGGATGGAGCACAGACACAATTTATGATCCGGCTTGCAGGTTACTTGACGGGCGCGTGCGCCCCCTGGCCGGACTCAGCACTGCGGGAGGAGTGCATGCGTCAACTCAGTCGTTCGTGTGAGATGGTGGAGCGGTGCGTGAACTGCGGGCACGCGGCGTCTGTGTCCTGCAGCGCGCTCCTGCTGCTGCGTGTCACGGGCACAGTCTTGCAGAGGCTTCCGTTGAGCGACGACGCAGCGGAGGCCCTCTTTCGTGCGACGGCCGCTTCTAAACTTTCTAGCAGCAGCGATGTGAATGTTGGGCACCCCGCAGTCGAGACGTCCCTTTCAGATCTTTTCATGGCCGTGACACTTGTACACATTGTGTGTCCTGGCGTGCTTCCGAGCATACGCCTGGTGCGGGCTTTTCTGCCGGCGCTGCAGCTAGGAGAGGAGCTACAGAAGGCCTTGCATGATGACGAGGCGTTTGTGGGAGGACTTGTCGCAATGCAGTCCGCACGTTTGAATGCTACCGCCGCCGTACGCCGTGCCCTTGTCATGTCGCTGTCGTTCGCCACGCGATTTATTCTGCGCCTTGTGGAGTTTGCCCCCATGTTGTCCAGGGACGCCCCGGCTGTGCAGTGGCTCCGATCAGAGGAACAGCTCGTGGAAGTTGCCATCTTTGCGGCGCTCGCGGCGTGTAGCGGCGGTGCGACGCCGGAGGAGCACGACATCGTGGAGGCAATGGATGCGGTGGGCACTCTTGTCCCACACCGCTGGGATCTTCCCTATGCCATTGCGCTCCACTGCCCGCTCCCTGCACCGCAGAGCGCCAAGCCGCCGGCTCGCACACTCCGCCAGCGGCTGGCGGCTGCGCTGCAATACTGCGGGCCGTGGCCAGGCGGCATAGTTTTGGCGCTTCTTCTCCAAGCAGCTTGGCCCGCACTTGCTGCCAACAAAGACGATGTTCTGCTTCCAGATTATAGGCAACTCCTGGAAGTTATGACAACTCTTAGCGTAGACCGTCGCTGGCACGTGTTTTCGACAACTCCTTCACTTCCACAGGAGGCCGCACGGCCGCTGTTGCGTCTTGTGGCATTGCGGCACCGCCAGGCCTCCACAGCCGCGTGTATCATACTGGGGAATGCCCTGCCACGCCAACAAGAGCAGCGGGGGCGGCAGAGGTGCCGTGGGGTTTGGAATACCCTTTCCACGAGCGATGCGGCAGTGCAGTTCCTTGCAATCGCTCACGTGGTGGCGCCGTTATTGGGGTCGCGTTCCAGCTCGCAGGAAAGGAAGCAGCAGCAGCAGCTGTTAGCAGACATGACGTCTTGGATCTCGTCGTCCTCGGCCTCCTATTCCTCGCTTAGTTGGTCGTGGCACTCGCTCTCGGCGGAGGCGCAGCAGCTTCTACTTTGGAGCCGCGTCCTTCTCGCACTGCCGCGGCGGCCGAGTATGGGAGAATCGAAAAATGACACAGATGCCGCGGAGCAGAACACGCTTGCAGCCGCCGTTGCACTCGTGACATCCCCCCGCGCTGCCTCCTTTCCCCACTCTTTCCACTCTGTTAAGAGGGAGCGGGCACTACCCGCGCCGTGGTCTGCCACTAATGACGCGAGGACGGCTGGCTCTTCTTGTGTGCTGTGTTTTCCTCAGGCCCTGTTCAATACCGCATGGGTGGCGGAGATGTACGCAAAACAGTTTGTGCCGGGGCATTCGTCCACCTACTCGCGTTTGTGCCGTGCGCTGCGCGTTCTTCCTGACCCGTCACTCGCGGTGGCGCGTGCACATGTCATGGACGATGATGAGACAAACGCCACGGAGTCGCTGTTTGCCACGCCGTCTGGCTTCAGCAGCTTGCAGTACGTCTCTGCATTAGTCCACACTGCAAATGAGGCGGCGGAGCTGCGGAGTGAGCAGGTTTTTTTGCTGTTGCTTGCGTGCAGTCAGTCCATGCAGGAGGCGTCCGAGCTGCTGGAGGGTCGCTTGTCCCAGCGACCGTACAGGGCCCTTCGCATGCAGTCATTACTCGCTGCGTGGAACACGCTACTCATTCGGTCTGTGGAACTTGGACGGGAGGGAGAGGCGGGGGCGCCGCCAAGGGGTCACAGTGCGGTGACGCATGCGGATGGGGCCGTGGAAGAGCATAAGAATGGGGAAAACGAAGAGGCGTCGTTGCGTCACCGTGTCGCTGCCGCGTTTCTCGCATTGGCCCTCGCCACCGGAAAAAAAGGGTGCGATACATCCATCTCCATGCCATCTCCACACTCGGAGGAAGAGGCGGAGGAGGAGGAGCAGCGGCAAAGGCTGTACAAAGAGATATTTGCTCACGGTGCCTCTGTAGATGCATTGCTGGGCGCCGCTCAGAACGCGACTCTCAGTGAGTCACGCTTTCGTCAGGCATCGGCTGACATTGTGGCGCGTGCGACTTCGCTTTTGCCGACAGGCCACACTTGCACTTCCTTTTTTGATGCCTGCCACACATCGGCTCTTGAATTCGCGCGGCAGTACATGAGCGGTGACGCCGGGCGATGGATTTCACTATGGCCGCCTTTAACGTTAGAGATGTGGCGCTCGTGTGGGTACGCCAAGTGTCTTCAGGAGCAGAAGCAGAGCCCCACCTCGCCCTGTAAACTGCGCCATCCTGTCGCGGTGTCGTGGGCGTTGCAGCAAAGTGCCGCTCACGCGTCTCGCCTCGGTACCGTGGCACGACCGCTGATGGCGCTTTTCAACACGCTTCGGTTGTACGTGGTGACTGGGACGGCGTTGTTTCCCCCGGCGTGGGCGGCGCCGCCCGCGACGGAGGCCGCAAAGGCGACGGGGGAGAACCCCGCGGCGTTGCCTGGCGTTCGAGGCGCAGGCGCCGGAGTAGTTGTGGACGCCTTCCTCTCAATGGCTTTGCGGGAGGGGCCGCCCACCCACCCCCGCGGCGGCACGGAGGCGCGGGATCGCGATGTCATTCGCCACCTTGTTGACGCCGTCTTTTCTCGCTCAAGCACTCCTGACGCGTCGGTTCCCACGTCCGCCTCGTCGTCGTTTCTCTCTGGATACACGCCGCTAACGACGGGCGGGCTGCAGTCTCTGGTGCGTCTTGTAGTGCTGCGGGATGGCTTTGACAAGCGTCGCACCGCAAGTGTCAACCACGTGGAGCAGTTTTCGCGACTGGAGGAACGGCGTGCGATGGCGCGCCGCACTGCTGCACGCCACGCCGGATTGCCGCTGACACGCGTGCACTTTGGCCTCCCGCGAGGTCCGCGCGATGCGCAGGTGCAGCTTTTGTTTTACCTCCGCGCCCTTGCCGCCACGCTCATGTTTGTGAATCCGATGGCGTGGCACGACGGACGGCAGGCCTCCCTCGATTTTGCCTTCACAGCAGTGATGGATTTTTTGCACCTGTGCTCCGCCTCGTACGGCGAGGAGGTCGACATCGCGTCACGCCAAGTGACAGCCGAGCTGGAGGGCATCTTTGGCCGTGGCGTGATGCGCGTCATCTCTGCAGCCACGTCGCAGCCAGAAGGCGTTGTCACGCCGCGGCAATTATTGCACTTCTTGACTGGAAGCTGGAACCACCACCACCACCAACGAGAGCCGAAAGGGAGGCAGCGCGACGAGGCGCTGGCGCTCCATCGGCAGCTGAGGAAGCTGCTGCATCTGTACAGGCGGGCAGGTGCGGTCGCCGATGTCTTGCTTCTCAAGGGTGACGACGTGGCGTCTGCGCCTCCTACGCCGCTATTTGCGCAGATGACAGTCATTGTGCGGGAGGCGCTTTGGAACACGGCCGTTGTTCCATCGCATGACGTTGTACTTGAGCTCCTCGACGCCGCCGTCAGCGCCAGCGCGGCCACCTCCGCGGCAGCCTCTGTGGCCGCGATATCTTCAGCGCGCTGCGGTCTGCAGCTCTTTGAGACGATTGCGCCGTACATCGTTGTGCCAACCCTCATGTTGGAAAAAGTACTGATGCTGTTGTTGGTGGTGATGCGTCCTAACTTTGCTGGGGCAGCGGCATGGGAGCAGGAAAAGGAGCTGTGTGAAGCAACGCTTCACCTTGTCCTTCGCCGCCTTCAGTACGTCCCACTTAACACCCCCACGGCCGTGGCGTTGTTGTCTGAGCTATATGCCGTTGCCATAGCTATGAATACGACGTCCGCCACCTGCACGAGCGCGGGGAACGTGAGTGCGGGAACTCGTACCCGTCACTTCCCTCCACCGCCTGCGGGTGAGGCACCGCAACTGCCACAGGTGGAGTGGCTGCTGTGGCGTTGCGCAGTGGAAGCGCAACGGGTGTCATGGGCACCCCTGCAGGATGCGTTATCGTCGTTGAGTGATGAATCACTGCGGCTGCTCCAACGTGGGTGTCTCGGTTTTCTCTTGCAGGATCACAGGAAGACGCACTATGACCCGCCGTTCCTCCGGCTTGGCAGGATGCTTGACACTGTGATCCTGCAAGGGTCCAGGGGAGCCAACGCAGGCACTAGCAGTGGCATTCGCAATGTTAACGGCAGTGGCAACTTCACCGCGCAACTGCTGCGCATGCTGGAATTGACCTCTACAGGGGTCGCAAGGAGTGTTGTTCCGTGGCGGCGTGCCCTGCAGTTTCTACCAGAGTCTCAGGAGGGAGGCGAAGAAGCCGTTGCAGGTGAGCTGCGGTTTCGGTTTTATGTGAACTTGATGTCGCAACTGCTTACTGCAGCAAACAAGGGGAACGATGGAGTGCGTCAGGTGTGGCAACACGCACTCTCAGTCATACTCCCGCAGCTCGTCGCTGCCAAGGAAGAAAAGGGCGTTGACACAAATCTCATCCATTACGGGACCATGTGTGCACTGCGGGCGATTCACGTTGTTCAGCCGCCAAATGAGTGGAATCTGGCACTGCAGCTAACACTACAGCTCCCCGCCGCGGCACCGAAGTCAGTGTCGGTGTGGTCTTCCCCTGCGTCCGCGTTGTTTCACACGCTACGGTATCTAGTCGAGGTGTGTGACGTGGCTACAATCCCCATTACAGCCCTGGTCTCGTACATGCAGGTTGTCGCCAGGCATCAATTGCATGAGGCGGCGCCCGAGCTTCTGACGAGGCAGCTCAACCGTTCAAAGGTGGTGGCCGCCTTTACCGCGCGTGTGCAGCGTCATCCGCACCTTAGTTGGGTGGATGCCCTCGCACTGTTGGAATCCATGAACGTATTGCAACAGGGCCTTGCAAAAGCAACCCCCAGGGAGGACGGCAGCGCGGGCTATAGTAACAGCGGTAGTGCGCAGGGAGGTGAGGTGGAACGGGTGCTCATTCAAGCCAAGGGCGAGTTTGTCACCGCTGTCATGGATTGTCTGTATAAAAAGCAGTCGTATGAGTCACTGCTGCGTTTCGTCGAGGCAGCCCAGCAGTATCATCGTGTGAGCGGCCGCGAATACTTGGCGTGGGTAAATCACGCTGCCTCGGTCGTTGTGGCTCCAGGTCAAAGGGGCGGTTTCTCAGAAGTATTGTCGTTACTCAACGGCACACTTGCGGGGAAGACGTTAGACGACATATTGCGGGAGCAGTCTGCAGCGGTGTTGAAGGAGCGTGTGTCTCTCATGCGAGATTTGCTGCGAAGTGGCCGGTCTCTGGATGCTGCCGTGCTCACGCGACAGACCCCGGCCCTGTTGGGGACGCCTGAGTTTCATGACGCCTGCGCACGCTTGATGAATCACTTGCGTCACGGTGCTCTTGTCTCCTTCTACGATGCACTTCTTCACCCGGAGGAGGAGGAGGAGAAGAAGATGGAGGTGGCGACGCGGCGGGTGGATGCGGCCTGCCGTGAAGGGAGCGACCGACCCACGGCGGCGTTACTAGAAGAAGCTCACCGTGCAGAGGACGCAGACCTCCTGCGATACGTTCCCAGTGAGGCGCTGCAGCAGGCAATGGCAGCCTTTGCGGTTGTCGCAAAAGACGCGAATGGCATGAGCACGAGCGAGAAGAGAACGGGGCTTTGGATTGCGGCGGCATGGATACGACGCGGAACGCCCCTCGTGCAGGCGCCGCACTCCCTTGCGGCGATGCTGCGGTGGATTCAGCGAGATTTCATGGGCGGCCCCGCAGAAAAAACGGATGAGGCCCTTCACATTCTCGCCGATGCCGTGCGTGACGTGTTGCACGAGACAGTGTCCCACGGCAACGGCCACCCTGGAGAGACTTCTACTGCGAAGGCATCACTGGCAGTAGACTTGGGTCGCGAGCGCGAGGTGGCATGTTTACTTCTGGAGACCCTCTCAGGGAGGTTCCCTGGCATTGCGTCGGAGCTGTGTGAATCCCTGCTTCAATGTGAGCGGCGTCCGACGAGGGGCGCTGGCGTTGGTACAACAGTCGATCACGATGGTGACAATAATAATAACGGCAACGAGGCGTGGTGGAGTTTTCTGCGCTCCACGGCCACCTACAATGCCGTGTTGAAGGAGGACTATCAGCATTCTTGCACGCTCGCCGCCAATTCCGTGAGCCGCGGCAGTGACCGCGACCCCGTCGTGGAGTGGCGGGACCGCGCATTATTCCGTAGCGGTAGTGAGGGGGGCCAGGCATGGGTCCAGGCACTGGCGGTGTACGCCGCTGCGCGAGCGCGCGTTGGGCATTCATCCATGCGTGGTGCGCATGTAGCGCGGCTTGTAAGACTCATCACCGCCAGTGGTTCCCTCCGTGTCGTGGTCCCGGCGGCTCGCAATATTTTTTTTCAGTTTCCTTCTTCACCCCCTAACAGTGGTGTGTCTCCACTCTTTTTGGATGCAATGCTGCTTCTCTGCGGAGCAATGCCTAAGCTGAAGCGACATGCTTTGCGCCAGCTTCACCGTGCTGCGGAGGCGCAATCAGAGGGGCTGCAGGCCATACTTGAGGATCTCCATGAACTTAACCGCTTCGTCGGGGACGGACTGGCGTTGTTGCAGCAGCAGCAACAAAGGGCATCTACGCTGCAGGGTGCTGCACTGGATGGACGTGTGGAGTTGGTGTGCAACATGCTTCGGTGTCTTACCGTTACGCTCGCAGCATCTACCACGTCCGTTGCAGCGCTGGAGGAGTGGCGGTCACTCACCCAGCGCATCCTTACGGCCCTGCCACCCGCGCAACGCAGCGGTGATGTACTAGACGCCCTCATGGACAGCGTGCGGGACTCCTTTGAGGTGCTTTCTCTTCTACGCCGACACCCTGCGCCTGCCTTAGCAAGTTGCCAAGAGGCCTGTAATGGGCTTTGGTGCAATGCATTGGGAATTATCTCTGCAGATGAGGGCGTCCGGCGCCACATGTTTGCCTACGCAAACGCAGAGCAGCAAACAGCAATGACGCAGCTTGAGATTTTAATCTGTTCTGCGAGCCTTGCTGCGGATCATGGAGTGGCGGCGATGAGGTCCCTTTGTGACGTTGCTGTGCGAACCCACGCTGTGCCGCTTTCAGAGGATGCGAAGGCGCTGGTGAAGATGGCTTGTATACACGGCAAAGGAACTGCATGGCGCTCTGAGTATGAGGCAATAACAGGCTTTGCGCCGACCACAGTGCGGCGACAGACGACACTTGCCCATGCGGAGGAGGCACTGGAGCAAACTCGCTGTTTGCGCGCGCTGGACGCAGTGGAGGATTGGGTGCAGGCTTTGCGCTTGTGCCAGGCGAAGCGTGAAGCTGGAGTCCGTTTGCGGCACGCACACTACCACCGCATGCTGCATCTCCTGCGGCAACACAGCACGGAGGATGCCGAGGCGACGACTGTAAGCACAGCTGTGGCTGAGGCAGTAGTGGGGCTGCATTTTGCGCGACTGCAGGATGGTTGCTTCCCAAACACGCACTCGATAGAACAGTCACTCCACATCTTGTCTGCTCAATCGCTCTCCCCACTTTTTGCGCTTCAGTACGCGCAGGCACTAACGCTCCTTCCCCCGCTAACCAATCGCCGACACAAAAAACCTGAATGTCACGGCAGCGGTACTGACCCTGCCAGCCCCTCTTCCTCCTCCTCGCCTGCGCAGGAGGACATGTCTTTCGCTGTTTCAACTGCCATGCTGCGCCTAGTTACAGGGGTGGCCTTGCGCCTTCCTGACGCCGTGCGTCAGCACCGCCTAACTGTAAATGAGGGTGTGGAGGGAATTCACATGTTTGCCGCCTTTATTCGTTGGGTGAGTGAATTCAGTCGTGTGCCATGCTTTGATCGCGACGTGGTGGAGCGTGTTGTGCTGCTTCTCTGCACCCCACCGAAGCAACTCCTCTTCGAGTTCACTGCGACACGCGACGGTGCCCCCCGCTGCGAGACGGGTGATGCGAGGCATTTATTGCTCACCGCTTTGCTAAAGCGTTCTGATGGCGGCACACCCATCGTCGATCTCCCCTTTCCTGTGACGTCCCTGGAATCTTACCGCTTCATCTCGCTACGCTGCGGCCATAATGAGGAAGATGAGAAGGAAAATGAAGGGTATATTCCTACGCCCGCAACATTGTTTGTGCTACGCGGTAATGCGGAGGTGGCGCTACGTTTTGTGGGGAAGCAGGCATCACTGCATCACGTGCTGCGCCCATCCAATTCGCTGCTTTGCCGTATGTGCGCCGCCGTGGTGGCTGGCGCGACAGTCACCGCAGAATGCTTGCAGCCACTGAGCCAACTTGTGCAGAACACGGATCTTATTTCTCCTTCGCTGCGTTACCTGTTGACACTTATCGTCGCGGAGCAGTCGACACTCTGGGGAGTTTATTACAGCGGGGGATCGGACCCCACGAAAACGGGCGGTGGTGGGCATCGGATGGGAAGAAGCGAGGATGTGCCAGCGTCTGTGGTGCTGCGCGCCGTGGCCGGCGCATACGATGTGGTGCGGCAGCACTTTACGCCACCCGACGCGTTGATGCTGCGCGGCCTGCTGCTCCCGAAGCACTTGTGTACTGCGGCGACGAAAGCCAATCACGGCGGCGATCGTGGGGAGGAGGAAGATCAGTGTGGCGAAGGGGCCATGAAAGCATCAGAAGGGAAGGAGGAAGAGGAGGATGGGGCTGCCCTGGATCCGCTTGCACCGAGCCTCGTGTGGGAGAATGCGTTAAATTTGTTCAATGTTTTTCTGCACAACGCCCAGCCGAACGCCGATCTTTCCGTGCCGTTCGAGGCGCTGATTGAACTGTTGTGTCGCTGCGGCCAGTGGAATGCCGCCTGCCGCAGCGTCACACTCGCCGGGAACCCGACGAAGAGCACAATGAGCACGCATCAAACGGCGCGGCACAGGAATGCCGAGGAGGAGGAGGGGGAGGTGTCACGCCTACTTCCCCGCCATGTGGTGGTGGACGGCTTTCTCCTTAAACGGCTCCTCGACGCCATGGAGGCTGCGCGGCAACGCCATCACGCACAGGAAGAGAAACGCGCGAGCGAAGCTTGTCTTCACACCAGCTGTGGGCCGCCAGGCTTTTGGCGGCTAGCCCTGTACATTCTCCTTCAGCAGCAGCAGGCGCTTCTTATCCCCGAGGAAAATCCCCTGCACGGTGCCAAAAAATGCGACCTGAGGGTTGCATCCGTGGCGCTGCTGGCTTTGATGAAGGCGATCTCGCAGGGCAGAGGCGGCTGAGCTTCCCTTTGGGGTTCCACTTGGGCAGATGGAACCGTTGGAAGCGCGTGCCGAATGTTTTCTGTGTCGTTGCATTCTCCAAGCAGGCAGTCGGTTTAAAAATCGAAAAACGCAAACCTAAAAGGGCACGATGTCTTTTTTTTTTTGTCCTTCTTCTGTACTGTTTTGCATTCTCTTTTATTCTCTCGTTCTGTCTGCGTGTGCGTTTGTGCGGCTCGTCCAACGGAAGCGACACACACGCGGCCACTTCACATGCATAGCGAACTTCTCTGTGGTGAAATAATTTGTGGTATAAATTTAAGTGGGCGCCGTCTGCCGTTTTTGTTCTTCGTCTTCCTTCGTGTGTGTTTGTGTTGAGTTTACCGGTTTTCTTCCAACTGCGTTGATCAGTATTTGTATTTGCTTTTTTTTTGTTCCACTCACCGAAACACACACACACACACACACACACACACACACAGAGACGGCCGCAGACTCCCGCACGAGGTCGCCCTCTCACATACACACGTAAAAACAAAATAAATCGGCTAGACATTTTATGGTGTCTTCCTTTTGTTTTCTTTCTGGCTGCCTGCTGTACCCCGCCTGGGCGCTTCAATCGTCTCTTCTCTTCTTGATTGTTGGTGGCAGCACAGTGATTGCTGCTATCATTCTTGGCCTATTTGTTTTTGCTGGTTACAATACTAGCATTAGGAAAGGCGGAAGTGCAAACTATTTTTTGTTTTGTTTTCTTGTGTGTGTTACCTCTCTCTCTCTCTCACTCACCCACCCACACACAC